TTTACAAACAGTCTATTTCCATTCATGTTTACAGTAGGAAACATTTACAAACAGTCTATTCCCATTCATGTTTACAGTCGGAAACATTTACAAACAGTCTATTCCCATTCATGTTTACAGTCGGAAACATTTACAAACAGTCTATTCCCATTCATGTTTACAGTCGGAAACATTTACAAACAGTCTATTCCCATTCATGTTTACAGTCGGAAACATTTACAGTCTATTCCCATTCATGTTTACAGTCCAACATTTACAAACAGTCTATTCCCATTCATGTTTACAGTAGGAAACATTTACAAACAGTCTATTCCCATTCATGTTTACAGTCGGAAACATTTACAAACAGTCTATTCCCATTCATGTTTACAGTCCAACATTTACAAACAGTCTATTCCCATTCATGTTTACAGTAGGAAACATTTACAAACAGTCTATTCCCATTCATGTTTACAGTCGGAAACATTTACAAACAGTCTATTCCCATTCATGTTTACAGTCCAACATTTACAAACAGTCTATTCCCATTCATGTTTACAGTAGGAAACATTTACAAACAGTCTATTCCCATTCATGTTTACAGTCGGAAACATTTACAAACAGTCTATTCCCATTCATGTTTACAGTCCAACATTTACAAACAGTCTATTCCCATTCATGTTTACAGTAGGAAACATTTACAAACAGTCTATTCCCATTCATGTTTACAGTAGGAAACATTTACAAACAGTCTATTCCCATTCATGTTTACAGTCGGAAACATTTACAAACAGTCTATTCCCATTCATGTTTACAGTCGGAAACATTTACAAACAGTCTATTCCCATTCATGTTTACAGTCGGAAACATTTACAAACAGTCTATTCCCATTCATGTTTACAGTTCAACATTTACAAACAGTCTATTCCCATTCATGTTTACAGTCCAACATTTACAAACAGTCTATTCCCATTCATGTTTACAGTCCAACATTTACAAACAGTCTATTCCCATTCATGTTTACAGTAGGAAACATTTACAAACAGTCTATTCCCATTCATGTTTACAGTCGGAAACATTTACAAACAGTCTATTCCTATTCCTGTTTACAGTGGAAACATTTACAAACAGTCTATTCCTATTCCTGTTTACAGTGGAAACATTTACAAACAGTCTATTCCCATTCATGTTTACAGTGGAAACATTTACAAACAGTCTATTCCCATTCATGTTTACAGTCGGAAACGTTTACAAACAGTCTATTCCCATTCATGTTTACAGTCGGAAACATTTACAAACAGTCTATTCTCATTCATGTTTACAGTCGGAAACATTTACAAACAGTCTATTCCCATTCATGTTTACAGTGGAAACGTTTTCAAACAGTCTATTCCCATTCATGTTTACAGTCGGAAACGTTTACAAACAGTCTATTCCCATTCATGTTTACAGTCGGAAACGTTTACAAAAAGTCTATTCCCATTCATGTTTACAGTCGGAAACATTTACAAACAGTCTATTCCCATTCATGTTTACAGTGGAAACATTTACAAACAGTCTATTCCCATTCATGTTTACAGTCGGAAACGTTTACAAACAGTCTATTCCCATTCATGTTTACAGTCGGAAACGTTTACAAACAGTCTATTCCCATTCATGTTTACAGTCGGAAACATTTACAAACAGTCTATTCCCATTCATGTTTACAGTAGGAAACATTTACAAACAGTCTATTCCCATTCATGTTTACAGTCGGAAACGTTTACAAACAGCCTATTCCCATTCATGTTTACAGTCAGAAACGTTTACAAACAGTCTATTCCCATTCACATTTACAGTCGGAAACATTTACAAACAGTCTATTCCCATTCATGTTTACAGTCGGAAACATTTACAAACAGTCTATTCCCATTCATGTTTACAGTCGGAAACGTTTACAAACAGTCTATTCCCATTCATGTTTACAGTCGGAAACGTTAACAAACAGTCTGTACCCATTCATATTTACAGTAGGAAACATTTACAAACAGTCTATTCCCATTCATGTTTACAGTCGGAAACGTTTACAGTCTATTCCCATTCATGTTTACAGTCGGAAACGTTTACAAACAGTCTATTCCCATTCATGTTTACAGTCGGAAACATTTACAAACAGTCTATTCCCATTCATGTTTACAGTAGGAAACATTTACAAACAGTCTATTCCCATTCATGTTTACAGTAGGAAACATTTACAAAGAGTCTATTTCCATTCATGTTTACAGTCGGAAACGTTTACAAACAGTCTATTCCCATTCATGTTTACAGTCGGAAACGTTTACAAACAGTCTATTCCCATTCATGTTTACTGTCGGAAACGTTTAAAAACAGTCTATTCCCATTCATGTTTTACGAAATATAAATGCAGAGTATGTAAAATAGCCCAGAAGGTCTAGTTCTAATGTAAATTATTAAAATAAGTATATCTTACAATAATCATCCATCAAAGCTGGAGCGTCTAAAATTCGTTCAGAGGTCTTTGGTATCTGTCTTGTTGGAGCAACTTTTGAAGCCATACATTTGCCAGAACTATATAAAACTTTTAAATTGTTTGTAGCCCCTATAAAAAGAATAGGTAATTGAAAAATTGTATTTGAAATGGAGATCATTCAGCATTTTACATGGAAACAACACACATTCAAACTTAGATCAAAACCATTTTGAATCTCCTCCTTGATTTAATGAGTTGAATTTTGATAAAGGTTATAACTTCTTCAACTAAACCTTCACATTAAATTCAAAGGTTTAGAAATGGCTTTTAATGTGATTTGAAGGTTTTGTTGAAATATTATAGTATTTTTCAAATGTCAAGGGAGAGATTCAAAATGGATGTGAACTACATTCAAATAAATAAATAGTGAAATTTTTTGTTTGAGAGATATTCAAAAGAATTATGAAACTTTCCTACAGACTGTACAGTTTTAGTTCTTTTAAAGACAATACACATATATTTAAGGCCAAAATCAACCACTGAGAATGGCGAACCATTACCTGTAATCATTTGTAGGGCTGGGTATTGAGATTGGTTATTGATGGCAGACTATCGATCCATAGTCGATTAATAATCAAAGTATCTTAATAGAGAAACCCTGTAATTCTTAATTCTATAGGTTATTTTTGTGTCGAAGTATATTCTTGCTTTGATATGTTATTATATGGAAGGCGAAATGGCTTTTTATTCAATCTTCTTCATTGTTATTTCTTAATTCTAAATTCTTATCTTTTAATTTGCAAGCTTAATTCAACATTTGTCATTGAAAATCAACATTTGTATACAAAAATCATAATTTGTACTGAAAATGAACATTCTTCGATAAACATTTGATTTTCCAATTACTGATTTTGGCAGCTTTGATTTTGAATAAAAATATTTATCAGTACAGTAACAATCACCAATATGAAATATTCAACATTCTGTCATACACTTCTTTTGAACTCCTTAAGGCGATACTGAATAATATTGAGTATGAGTTATTGCCCTTGTTCTTGAAAACATGTTCAATTATTAGCTCGTGAAAACCCTAGAAGGAAAATCTTCAGCGCAGGACTGAATAATATAACCAAGTTTTGTCAAAATCCAGCAAGAATCATGCTTTTTAGTGTTTAAGAGCTAAATTTGAAAGCGTTTTCAAGCACAAGGGCAATAACTCATACTAAATATTTTTCGATTTTTCTGATTTTCAATAGGGTTTATCCTTGGTTGATAACAAACACTCATGCCAAATTTCGTCAGAATCCATCAAGAATTGTGCCTTCTAGAATGTTTACAAGCTAAAAATTTAACGCGTTTTCAAGAACAAGGGCAATAACTTATAATAAATATTTTTCGACAATTCTGATTTTCAATAGGGTTCATCCTTGGGTGATCACAAACACTCACACCAAGTTTTGTCAAAATCCGTCACGAATTGTGTCTTGTAGAGTGTTTACGAGCAATTGTGGACAGACGGACGGATTGACGGACTGACCGACATGGGTGATGGCAATATACGCCCCCCATTTCATGTGGGCGTATAAAAATAGTTAGAGGTAGTTTACTGTCATTTTCCTGCTAGGTTCCTTTTGCATTGGACGTTTTTATTTGTATGCTCAAACCCACCTTCAGCTGGTAATGGTGCTTTAGTCTTATAAGACAATATTTTAGCTTTATGTGGGTCAATGCCATTAGTCAAGGCGTTATTAAGATGTTGTTGATAATAGTCAATGTTATTGTCTTCATCTCTTTCTTCTTCTAACCACATATCATTGACACTTTCTTTTCTGTTCACTACAGCAAAATGTCCCATATCAAAATTAGTTGTAGCTCTATTGGGTATGAATCTGAAAACAGAAAAGATCATGAGTCACCTTTGAATCAATTAAAACCAGATTACAATTTTGTTTTGTATTTTGTTATTTTTCCCCTCTCTCATAGTACTCATAGTAGCTGAATAGTACAGCAACTATAGCCTTTAATTCTCTTGTTCTGTCATTTTGAAATGGAATTTCATGACCTACTCTACTATTTCACAAATGATTATATTATCATATGGAACTACATTATGGTTCTTACATGGAAATAACACTTCCTTGACTTATTAAGTCGAATTTCAATAAATGTAAAGATAGTTTGCCAGGCAAGGAAACATACGCCCACTACCAGCTGTCAAAATGATAAGTCTTTAATAATTTAATAATGACTTTCAAAATTAAATCTTAAAAATATCTATTTGTCAAGTTGGTCAAGACAAAACCCTCAAAAACATATCATTGAATTCAAACTTGAACAATGTCTTATTGACATACACACAAGGTCAATAACTCTATATTGTTCATCCAAATATTACCAATTCTAACTGGACTGAGATCTAATCAATATATATATATGCATACAAAGTTTAATAGATATCAGATAAAAACTGCAGTCTCTATCGTACCTGAAAGCCAAATTTCGCACTTGACCGAGATCTCATCAATATATACATGCATACCAAGTTTCATGAAGATTGGACTGTGTTTCTATCCTGCCCACAAGCAAATTTGACACATTTTTACTAAGTCAAGGGCAATAACTCTGAAATCGTTCTAGCGGATCGTTGCCAAATTCGAACTTGACTGAGATCTCAAGTTTGTCAAGATCGTATAAAGACTGTATTCTCTATTGTGCCTACAAGAAATGTGAACGGATGGACCGACTGATAGGGGCAACTTCAATATCTGTCCACATTTCCATGTGAGCGTATAATATTTCAACAAAGCCTTCACATTAAACGACATTACTAAACCTTAAAGTGTTATTTGAAGGATTATAACCTTTATCAAGATAGCTTGCCAGGCAAGGTAATATACGCCCACTGGCAGCTTTGATTTTGAATAAAAATATTTAGCAGTACAGTAACAATCACCAGTATGAAATATTCAACCTTCAGTCATACACTTCTTTTGAACTCTTTAGGGCGATAATGAATAATATTGAGTATGAGTTATTGCGCTTGTTCTTGAAAACGTGTTCAATTTTTAGCTCATGAAAACTTTAGAAGGCAAATATTCAATCTTCAGCTCGAGACTGAATAATAAAAGCAAGTTTTGTCAAAATCCAATAACAATCATGCCTTTTAGTGTTTAAGAGCTAAATTTGAAAGCGTTTTCAAGAACAAGGGGAGTAACTCATACTAAATATTTTTCAATTCTTCTGATTTTCAATAGGGTTCATCCTTGGGTGATTACAAACATTCACACCAAGTTTCATCAAAACCCGTCAAGAATTGTGCCTTCTAGAGTGTTTACGAGCTAAAAATTGAACTCGTTTTCAAGAGTAGGTCAATAATTCATACTAAATATTTTTCAATTTTTCTGATTTTCAATAGGGTTTTATCCTTGGGTGATAACAAACACTCATGCTAATTTTGGTCAAAATCCGTCAAGAATTGTCCCTTCTAGAGGGTTAACAAGCTAAAAATTTAATGCGTTTTCCAGAACAAGGGCAATAACTCATACTAAATTTTTTCGATTCTTTTGATTTTCGATAGGGTTTATTCTTTCGAGATTATGAACACTCACACCAAGTTTCATCAAAATCCATCAGGAATTGTGCCTTCTAAAGTGTTTACAAACTAAAAATTGAACTCGTTTTCAAAAGCAAGGGCAATAACTCATACTAAATATTTTTTGATTTTTCTGATTTTCAATAGGGTTTATCCTTGGTTGATAATAACACTCATGCCAAGTTTCGTCAAAATCCATCAAGAATTGTGACTTCTAGAGTGTTTACGAGCTAAAAATTGAATGCCCCCCCCCCATTTCATATGGGCGTATAAAAATAAGACACTATGGTACACTATGATTGACTAGCGATTAAAATAGTAAGGGTCTTGCAAGTAAAATTATTCCAGTAATATTTATGATAAAACATACCTGTCACCATAACATTTATTATTAGGTGTTTTATGAGGTGTCTTCTTAGAGGGTGTTTTACTCATATTGCCTGTTAACGGTGTTTTTACAGGTGTAAAAGTGTGGAAATTGTGTATTCTACCACTAAGTGGTGTTTTTGGTGTTTTCCCTGGAGTTTTTGCAGACCTTGGTGCTTTTGTTGGTGACATACCAGCTTAAAAAAACAAAAAATTCAAAAATTTCAGTATGCATCAATTTATTTTAAAGAAATATTTACAATGAAAAGTAGTTTATTATGCATTTTTCACAAATTTATCACCAAGTGTAGTTAGTAAAAATGTAATCAATTGTCATTAATGTAAAATATCAAAAGTCGCTTCACAATTTATCTATAAGTATATGCCCACTGGCAGCTGTGTTTTTCTTTTTTTTTATTATATATTATATATTATTTGTCATAGTGTTGATACCGTTCCTTTATGAACAATTTCAGCAAATTTCATTCAAATTTGTCAAAAATTGTGTTTTGTACAGTGTTAACCAGCTATAAACTTAAACTGTTTTAAAGAACAACGGCAATAACTTATGTTAAATATTTTTCGACTTTATTGTTTTTCAATACAGTTCATCCTTGGGTGATTAATAAATAACATCACCAAGTTTTGTCGAAATCTGTCAAGAATTGTGCCATCTAGAGTTTGTACAAGTTAAATATGGAATGTGTATCGAAAAACAACGGCAAAAACTCATATAAAATATATTCTAATTTTTGTCATAATCTACAAAAATTGTGCTTTCTAACTAGATAGCTTGCCAGGTAAGATAATATACGCCCACTGGCAGCTTTGATTTTAAATAAAATTATTTGGCAGTACAATAACAATTACCAGTATGAAATAGTCAACCTTCAGACATACACTTCTTTTGAACTTTTTGGGGCGATACTGAATAATATTTCATCAAAATCTGTCCAGTATTGAGCCTTTTAGAGAGCTTCCAGATGGGTTTTTAAGAACAAGGGCAATAACTCATACTAAAAATATTCTGATTTTTTCGATTTTCAATAGGGTTCATACTTAGGTGATTACATACACTCACACTAAGTTTCGTCAAAATCCATCAAGAATTGTGCCATCTAAAATGTTTGAGCTAAAAATTGAACGCGTTTTCAAGAACAAGGGCAATAACTCATACTAAATATTTTTGGATTCTTCTGATTTTCCATAGGATTCATCTTTGGGTGATTACGAACACTCATACCAAGTTTCATCAATATAGCTTCCCAGGCAAGGTAATATACGCCCACTGGCAGCTTTGATTTGGATTAAAAGTATTTAGCAGTACAGTAACAATCACAAATATGAAATATTCTACCTTCAGTCATACACATCTTTTGAAATCTTTAACGCAATACTGGATAATATTGAGTATGAGTTATTGCCCTTGTTCTTGAAAACATGTTCAATCTTTAGCTCATGAAAACTCTAGAAGATAAATACATCTTCAGTTCGGTACTAAATAATTTTTCTGATTGTCAATAGGCTTTGTCCTTGGGTGATAACAAACACTCAAGCCCAGTTTCGTTAAAATTCGTCAAGAATTGTGCCTTCTAGAGTGTTTACAAGCTAAAAATTGAACGCGTTTTCAAGAAGAAGCGTTTCAAGAAAAAGGGCAATAACTCATACTAAACATTTTTCGATTTTTCTGATTTTTAATAGGGTTCATCCTTGGGTGATAACAAACAACCATACTAAGTTTCGTTGAAATCAGTCAAGAATTGTCCCTTCTAGAGTGTTTACGAGCTAAAAATTTAAAGTGTTTTCAAGAACAAGGGCAATAACTGATACCAAATATTTTTCAACTCTTCTGATTTTCAAGAACTTTTCAAAATTTGTTTGTGAACACAATAGAGACTACAGTTTTCAACTGATTTTAATGAAATTTGGTGTGATAATTCATATTGATGTGATCTTGGACAAGTTAGATTTTACAATTGTTCGATGAACGATTTTTTTAGTTATTGCCCTTGACTTAGGAAAAACATGTCAAAATTTGTTTGTGAACAAAAAAGAGACTACAGTTTTCAACTGATTTTAATGAAATTTGGTGTGATCATTTATATTGATTAGATCTTGGACAAGTTCGAATTTGATGATATTTCAATGAACAGCCTTTGAGTTATTGCCCTTGACTTAGGAAAAACCCGTCAAAATTTGTTTGTGAACACATTAAAGACTACAGTTTTTAATTGATTTTAATGAAACATGGTGTGATCATGTATATTAATGCCATCATTTGTTGTATTTGGGTTATTGATATTGATTTTTAAAAATTTGGTGGAATTACTCAGCATAAATAACTGGCAGTAAATATATATATCAATGAATTCAAACTATTAAAATTTCTTTATTATGAGAAAATTCATACTTTTGTCACTAAAGACTTTTTTCATTTCCGACAACTGCCAGCGGGTGTATGTTACCTTGCAAGCTATCTATTATTGTATTGAGCTAGAATTGCAATATTATTAACTACATAATATGATTCAATACTACAGACAGGGCTTGAAATGTCCACCTGTCTAAAATAGTCAATAAACAACTCATCAAAATATATATGTGTTTTTTCGCCGTACATTCAATCTTTTATATTTAGAATGAGCATAAATCCATGATTGACATCAAAATGAGCAATAGCTCTGGTAATCGTGTACTTTCGTTTCGCTTTCTCCAAGAGTTGTTTTATGCCGGAAGTATGTCATTTCTGAATATTCTTTCTTAACTGTCACCCAGATTGCGCTTGATTGGAGGGTTCTGAACAGTTACCGTCTGTTCCAATTAATCGAACGTGATATCACATCACATTTCAAATCTTCTGATCTATTTCCTTCTGGGTCATTTTGAATTTTGTCTGCAACTATTACTTTTCCTTTAGTTTTATTGAACATTCGGTTGATTCCTTACAGTAACAATTACCAGTATGAAATTTTCAACCTTCAGTCATACACCTCTTTTAAGCTCTGAATAATATTGAGTATAGGTATGAGTTACTGTCTTTGATTTTGAAAGCGTGTTCAAACTCTAGAAGGCAAATACCCAATCTTCAGCTCGGTACTGAATAATAAAACCAAGTTTTGTCAAACTCCTGTGAAACATATTTCGATTTTTTTGATTTTCGATAGGGTTCATACATGGGTGATAATAAACAATTTCACCAAGTTTCGTCAAAATCCGTCAAGAATTGTCTCTTCTAGAGTGATTACGAGCTAAAAATTGAAGAACAAGGGCAATAACTTATACTAAATATTTTTCCATTCTTCTGATTTTCAATAGGGTTCATACTTGGGTGATTACGGACTCATACCAAGAATTGTGTCTTGTAGAGTGTTTACAAGCAATTGTGGACTCACCGACGGACATGGGTGACGGCAATATACACCCCCCATTTCATGTGGGCATATAAAACTGTGATGAAATAAGACTCATTTTTTTCTATTTTTTATAGGAGCAATGAAGAAGGTCAGCAGGGTCATTCCATCTAAAACAAAACTTTATCTAGCACTCAATTTCTAAGCAGTAAGGTCTATTTCCCAACACTATTTGCCATACAGAAGAACCTGAGAGGGTCATTTTGGTGAGTTCAGATGGAATGACCAAGTTACTATTTGGTCATTGGTGATAGAAAAATAGCTAGTACATACCATTATCAGAGGGCATTACCAATCTTAATTCAGCTTCCTGTGCCTTTCTCTGCCATCTCATTAATGGAGCTTTATGAGACAGTGGTCCATCTAATCTAGTCAACTCACTGACAGTCTTATCAAAGTTAAAATGAGACATCTTGAACTTGTATCTATGTTGAAAATGAAATAAAAATATATAATTATAAGTCTAAATATATTGCTTTAATTACATAACTCATAATCATCTCGATATTGGAGCAGTTTATACAAAAAGAGTATGGCCACCCCATGCCCAGCTGTTGGGCTTGATTGCAATCCAATGTTTCACAGTTTCAGTTTGTTTTCAAAGGAAAGCTCAAGGAACAGACAGAGGCAGACAGCCCTGTTCATGGAATATATTCTGACATCTGACAAATTACTCTGATCAGATTTATTATTTCTTCACTTTATAGTCATCAAATTTGATTTTTTTAGAAGATTAGATGTAGAGTAAGAAATATACACTTTAGTAACCTAATTTCGTGCTAACCTATTTTACGCGCATCTCTTGAAATGATTAATAAATTACATGTGTGACCTCGCGTGACCTGCGCATTTGCTTGTTTTGATAACATGGGTCTAGCCTATCTCTATGTCAGCCAGTAGAATGAATCCAGTAGTTCAATCAAGTTAAGATAGCTTGCCAGGCAAGGTAATATACGCCCACTGGCAGCTTTGATTTTGATTAAAAATATTTGGCAGTACAGTAACAATCACCAGTATGAAATATTCAACCTTCAGTCATGCACTTCTTTTGAACTCTTTAGGGCGATACTGAATTATATTGAGTATGAGCCCAGTCACGTTGGTTACTCATGAAATATGGGTCAAAGTGAGGGATTCATAATCAAAACAAACCAATTTTAATTATTTTTTAGAATATCTGAGGAAACATCTAAGACATAAAAAAAAATCTGTTTTTTTAACTTTGACGAAATTCGGTGTTGAAACCTTATATGCACGAAAATAGGTTACACCACTGTATGACTTTGTTGACTTTGCAACAAAATATACAGTCGAGTAACCTAATTTCGTGGAAACCTATTATTCGTGGATTTCCGAAAAGGATTAATAATTTACATGAGCGACCTTGCGCGACCTCCGCATTAGCTTGTTTTGATAAACATGGGTTTTCTGTACAATATCAGCTAGTAGAATGAATTCAGTAGTTTCAAGTAAGGTAAAATGTATTAATGTACACTGGTGTAACCTATTTTCATGGATATAAGGATTCAACACCGAATTTCGTCAAAGTTAAAAAAACAAAAATTTTTTTTATGTCTTAGATGTTTCCTCAGATATTCTACAAAATAACTAAAATTGGTTTATTTCGATTTTCTTTATGAATCCTTCATTTTGACCCATATTTCATGAGCAACCAACACGGCATCGGCGGCAGAATGCGTAACCTATTTTCGTGTACAATGTTTGATCTATAAATAAGTCTAGAAAAACACGTTGTATGGATACCGGGTGGTATTATTAACT